GATGGTGAGTACATGTGGTGCTTGTTTTTCCATTCTTGGGATACCTCGCTTAGTATAATGTGTTCCAGCGCTTTCCAGGAGTATATAAGAGGTGCTATATCACCATTGTTTCTTAAAGCTGAATAGTACCCCTATATTAAAAGTATTGATGCACATATACACAGGGAATAGAGTGATATTTTAAAGCTATAATAGTACAATAAAATCTAAATGGAATCTATGTTCTACACAATTATCGTACGTTTGAGAGGATCCTGGTGAACAAAAAAATTATTTTGGAAAGTGCAAATAGAAGCAATGAAACAAAGAAGTTCATGTGTCTATAGTTTGCATGTCCAAAATGAGATGGTTTTGCTATTACTGTCAATTAGAAGTTTTAGACTGGCATTGGTCTGTGCTATTTTACTCCTCCTTCAGAATTAAATTCTTTCTCCACCTTGATTTGTCATCTCATTAAAGTATAAATACAAGTAAGAGTTTCTAGTCCATAGTGGTTGGCAAAAATGTTTTCAAATACAATGATTATTCTAGAATTCATAATAATGTTCCCCTGGACTCTGGAGCCCATGGAGCTGTCAGCTGTGCAGTGAAGCTTGTCAGCAGCAAAGTTGAAATGTTCCCAAGATCCAAGTGGCTAATTACATGCTGCTTTATTTTGTCCAGTTGATGGTCTCACACACATCCGCAAATAGAGACTAATGAAATAAAACCAGTGATACACATGCTGAACCAAAGGCTAAAATTAAAACAAGTATTTTCAACATGGAATAAATTGTATGAGTGTGTTATTGTAATACATTTTCTATTAATTTTTCTTGAAATGTTTATTATGGTTCTCAAATGTAAGGGAAAAAGGTGGTTTTCCTACCTGTTGCTCAGTAGAGAACCCAGCAACATCAGGCTGTCTTCCATATTGGCGATGATTTCTGAAGTACTGTCTCCTCGCAAGAGAAGTTCTCCACGAGTTTTAAAGCTGCCAAATGTGAATGTTTTGTTGTTCCATTCATTGATCACTTGCTTCAGCTTTTGCTCAATGTCTCTCTCTTTCACTGCACTGATACAGATGTCCTATCAAAACGCAAGCTCTCGTTTTATTACATGAAAGTCGCACGTCCTTCCTTAACAGTCTAGGTTCAGCAGAGATCCTGTCTTCACTATTTGCTTCATGTGCATTTAAAAACATTTATATTTTCAGATCCAAAATGCAGTATAATAAACCATGTATGAACATGTAGATATTGATACAGGGAGAGAGATGGAAATAAAGATATGACTGAATAGAACCTTAATGTATAAAATTTCCCACCAATCTATGCCAAAAAGAAAGATGACAGAACAGATATGCAACAACCTTTTAATGACAGACTCAAAAGTCAATGTGTTTCTGATTCCCCTCTAACCTCAAACAAATGCAGTGTGAGAGGAACAAATTAGCAGACCCCTCATTTCTCTAGTCACTTTCCCAGTCTCCTCTGCAGCCTTCCCTTCCCCTGGACCAGTAGTCAAGGCCTGCCTTTACCCTCATTTCCTCCCACACTACATTCCCATCTGGACGAGCTCATCTATGCCTGTGCATTCAGTAAACTTTTATATCTCCAGGAAAGACCTACATTTATTTGCCTACTGGACTTTTCTGCTTGGAGTTTCAAGGGAACTCCACACACAATGTGTGAAATATCAAACTCATGCCCAAAATCGAGTTCATGTTCTTTGGACCTTGTCACCCAATTTGAACCCCTTCCCATATTCCCATCTCAGTGGCAAGTACCATCATCCGTCTAGATCTCTCAGCAAGAAATGTAGGGTTCATCCTCATTCTTCTACCATGTTCCCTCCATCACCAAATTCTGCCTAGTTTTACTTCTTACAGAGCCCTTCCCTCTTTTCTCTCCTCTCCAGCTTTACTACCTCCCCTGCTGTCCAATAAACCATTATCTCTTGCCTGTGCTACTCTTAGAACCTTTCAATTGGTTTTCCCATCATTGTCCCCTCATCCTCCTCCAATTCTTTTTCCATATGGCTACCAGAATGACCTTTCCAAAATGCCAACCTAACCATGTCATCCCCTGCTGAAAACACATCTCCCAGATAGCCCCCATTGCTCTGAAGACAAAAATCAATAACATCATCTAGGCCCACTCTAATGCCCTGGGCTCAGCTGTCTCCTCTCTCCCCCACCTTCATACCCCAGCCACACAGGCCCTCTTCTGGCTCCTCGAATGCACTTCAGATCCCCCATGCACAAGGCTTCATCTGCCTGGAATGGTCTTCTTTGCACTTTCTGAGCCCCTCATCTCACCACATGACCACACTCCCATCATCCAGCCAGTCCTGAGCATGCACCCCAGGCTTCCCTACCTTTATCACCCCCAGATAAAACAAACTCCTTTATAACAGGCTCCCATAGAGCAGCATACTTTTCCTTCAATGGTATTTACCATAGCTTGTAACTACATCTTTATTTATATAATTATTGCATCATACTAATCATTTAATGATCTATGAATGCAGGACTGCATCATTATGTCCCCAGCACAGAACCTGCCCCATAGTAGGCACTCGATAAACATTTGTTGAAAGACTTAATGGCTGAATGCCAGGAAAAGAGTTTCAATTGCCTGAGCATACTTTACAGGTCCAACATTCCATAATATAGAAATGTTATCAGACAAATTCCATGAGACTTTACAATCTTCCACCACATCATGCTCTCTACCAACTGTACCTCTATTTCCTCTTTGTATCTCAAAAGAGGTGCCTCCATGATATTTCTTAACTTAAAGGCTTCATTCCCCACATCCAGACTGTGCCCAGTGAGAGCAGTGATCTTTTCCCAGTGCCTCTCCAGCATGGCTTTACTGGACATGTATTCCAACAGTGGGCAACACTCGCTAAAATCATCAATGGTCTTCTTCAGGTCCAGAAAAGCCTGCCAGTCCTTCAAGGCCCGGGGCAACTTCCGACACCTGTGAAAATGAAAGGCCACAGAAATACGAGTTCAGACAATTCAGTCCAAGGTTGTCTGCTAGCATTTCTATCTAAAACAGTTTCTTTGAATACCTATCCCATTTTTAAACTCACGATTCATAGCCTATCTCTTAATGTAATATACTGACTTTTATTACATAAAATTGCTCCTCCCCGTCAGAAAATACTTTTCCAATCCCTCATAACAACTACCTAGTTAGAGGTGTTATTTTAGAGGTTAGAGGTGCCTTTCAGTTCAGTTGAATCCTATAAACATGTATTGAGAACTTACTACTAACAATTACAAAGCATAGTATAGTGTATCAGGCTGTAAACCAAAATATACAATAAATGGCCCTCCATTTTCTTTGGATTCAACACTTAAAATGATGTAGAAAAATCATGGGGTTCTTGCTTTTATTCTGGGAAATCATCTAACATAAACTTCAAATGTGTGACAAGTGTAAAATAAGTGAAGATCAGGTCCCTCCAAGCTACAGAGAAGCCCCTAAAAAGATGTATCCAGGTTTAAAGGATGTGCTTGTCTCATTGTGTACACACAGGGGTAATTAATAAATAGCATTTGACAAGGGTGCTGTCGACAGTCAACAACAATACAGCAAGATGTGCTTTTGAAACATCTGGAGTGAAAACAGGACTTGGCAGCATACCAAAAAAGAAAGCATTTGAAGTTCAGTAGCTCTGGGCATGCTAAGCATTTAATTTCTCACCTGTTCTGGAATTCTAAGAGTTCACTGTTTATTTTTTCGACATTCACTTCTGACCAAAGGATATCATAATAACTATTTACAGTTTCTATGACACTGTTGTACAGAGTGTATATTTTCTGTAGAAGATTTAGTTGCTTTTTTATTTCGAGAAGCTGAGGATACTGCGTAACTGGCAGGCCAAAAAGCTCCTCTCCTCCAGTATAGGTGATGTATTTCCGATAGATATTATCAAATTGATTCTAATAAAAACACAAATGAAAACTCATCAAAATGATTTACACATGAACAAACATGCAAGTGAAAATGAAAGATTGGCAAACAAGCTGGCCAGAGATGGATGATCTCTGGGCACATGTAAATAGAAGAACAAAATGTGTATAATTAATTCATAGAAACCATCTCTAATTGTAACCACACAAAATCATCTTTTTTAAAGTGTAAGTATGTACTATATTCCACAATAGGCCTCTCTGTCTTAAAAAAAACAAAAATATACATGCGTTTAAAATACAACAAAATTTTATTGTTTAGAAATGAAAAAGATTACCTGAAACATGATAAGTCTATCGCTGGCTTCCTGGGGTTTCAAGCCACTAGCCATTGGACCATTCTGAACAAAAAGTTAAAATAAACATAAATAGAATGAAATGTTTGCATGCAAATTTCATGAACTCAAAGTATTTGAATACTAAAGTTAGTTTTCACACATGTCACGTGCATGATAGGAAACTTGGTTTTGTATTTGTTAAAAAAGATCTCAGAAAGTGACTCATTTGGAAATATTTTTCAAGTCTAAAAAAGCCAACTTAACGCCACAACTTACTAAAGTCAAGAAACTTTTTAAATTAAAAATATTTATTGTTCATTTCTTAGGTGACACAGGCAAAGAGGGGTCAATGTCTATTCTATAAGAAGCACACAGAACGTCTGGTTTGAGCTAAATGCTAATGCCATATAACTCACAGATTTTATCATGCTGATACCTATTTGTAAAGTGGCCCACAATCTTAACATTACAATAAGCTTTTCCCACATTAGAACAACCTAAATATATGGATTTCTGTGCTTCTTCATCTGTGAGTTAGTACATGAATCCAATCTTCTAGCTTTATTAGCTTAGTGGTTTATTGTGCTACTACTTAATAGGTAAAATTTTACCCTATACTCTACATATTTCCCTTCTGTAGCACATTAGAATTGGCTGAAAATGGGTCTCACTGCAAAACATATTCACACTAGACAATTTTGCCCTAAAATTTATATGTAAAATTAAAATACCAACTCCATGGGGGTAGGGGTTCATCTGTCTTGCCCACCGCTAATCTCATCAGCACCAAGGACAGCGCCTGGCACGTAGTCTTTGTGGAACTAAGGCATGCTATGAAAAGGACTATCAGCTGTCATTAATAGAGAAATGGATATATAATAAATGGATTATTACAAAAAAAGAAAAGGACTATTAATTATATAATAACTACATTTGAATAGTATTTTTATACACAAATTTAGAATTCTATCAAACAACTTCAGTACCAAACAAATGATACAATATGAACAGCACTTTTAAATTCATGATTTTCTATCGAAATTATTCTGGATGAACTCTAAGGGGAAGTGATTGTGACAGGGAAATATTTTTGCTCTCATGAAAATAAAATTCCCATTCTTTGGGAATTCCTAGGAAATTTCATGGAATTTGACACATAATTTTTAAACAACTACATTTTACACGATCTATTCACTTGTCCCCAAAAATGCACATAGAGAAAGCCGGAGACATACCAAATCATAGTCCAAATAAAACTGGTGACAGTCTTGAAGGAAGACCTCCACGGCACTAATAAGCTCTTTCCTGAAACTGGGCTGCAGTGCAACTAATTCATTCTGAACTTCCCCGGCACGTGTCAGCAGCTTCTCCCACGCATAGTGCAGTGTATCGACTTTGTCCATCTCTTCCTTTGCTATCAGAAGTCCATATTTGTTAAGCAGAGCATAAGATTCCTGCACAAAAGAAGAAAAACCTAACTTATGCCAGTCAGATGCATAAATCTACACATTTATTAAAGCATTAGAGTGGAAAAACCAGCATGATAGTGAAAACACCCTGAAGTTCTAGTCATTTCACTTGCAATCTGCAAGAGCTTAAATGAGCAACTGAGACATTCAGCTTCACTTTCCTCATCTGTAAAACAGGAAAATTCTCTAGCTGCTTCAAAGTATCTTTGTGAGTGTGAAAAAATATCATCTTAAATGCATTCTGAAAGCTGTAAAATATTATACAAATAAAAAATATTTTTACTTAGGCCCTCAAATTGTATTTGAAGACTACAACATTACATGAATTAAATGAAAAACATAAAACAACTTCTAATATGGAAATTTAAAAAATCAGGATTTTTAACTCTGTCCCGTTTCATTTTGTTGATAAGAGGTTTCAATAGTAAGACACAAGGGAACATTCTTGAATCAGAGCCTGAGCCAAGTCATTCCTCTGAGCATGCAAACTCCAGGACTACTCTCTTGGCTAAAAGATTAAAATGAGGCAAAGAAAAGGTTTTCCCTAAATATCCTTAGCCCATTCTCCCACCATTATTTCTCCCCATAGATGTGAAATGAGTACCGTATTGTTGATTTGGGGGAAAAAATATTAATTTGAGCGAGCACAACCCAGTGCTTTTCTCCCTCTTCCTTCTTCCTCCTTGGAGGCATGCCTATGGGTTACACCTCCATGCCATAAACTGGGTCATGGTAATAGAGGAACCTGAAGCTTTCCAACGCTGCCTCTGATGCATGAGGAAGTATAATAATTCTGGGATTTAGTATTCACAAGCTGACGGTGTGTGTGTGTGTGTGTGTGTATGTGTGTTTGGGGGAAGGAGGCAGAGAATAACTGAGTAGTATGCTAAATCATGTCTTCCAAATAAGTTCTAGCGGTAATAAAGGTTATATTTTGACCTTGACTACCTGACTCTACTTTTGTCTTGACTTTCAAGTGGGAGAAAACAGGATCGTCAGTTACTGCACCTCCTCTTCTAACACCAGGTTCTCCCCAATCCTATGCAAAGAAGGGGATTTTTGACTTAAGGTTTCAACCCAAGAAGAGCACAGCGGGCCCTGTGACCCACCAACACAACACGGCAAAAGGGCAAACATGTAGCAGTCTGTGCCATCTTCATGCTAATGTGAAATATTTCAAAATTCAAAGAGGGACACAGGAAATGTGAGATTGGAGTCTGATCTTGACCATCAGAGTATAAATCCAGACATTCAAAGTATGATGTGATGAAAAGACAGTGATCTTACATCTATAACTTTTTTAATTTGCTACAATACTACTAGTCTCATTTAAAAGAATAAATATACTAACTCACTTCTGGTAAGACACTTTCATCTGGGAAAAAAATAGTATGATATTGTATAAAAACAAAAGTGGTGTTCAACGCTGATCAGATTGTATAACTTCTTTGCCCCTCAGTTTCCTTGTGTGGAAAGTGGGGGCAGCAGTGAGGATGAGATGAGTTAGGTACATATGGACATACTTAGTGCCCATCCAGGTCCTGTTTACCAGCCAGTATTTCCATCTCCAACTATTGAGAATGTTGGCCAGAAGGACTGCCACTCTCTCCTTCCCTGGAAAATTATCTTAGCCAAATGTGAGCCTCCTTGTGGGGAGATTATGGTCAATGACCCACTGACTTCAAGTACAAAGGGGAGTTCCCCTTGCATCAAGGTGGGACCAGCTGTGTGGAACAATTCATGCTATAGAGCTCCCCATGGGGCAGAGTGACGTTAGTCTACAGCTGAAACCACATCCTTGCTTAGCTTTTCTCCACATACTTTCCTGTCGCCCTCACTCCTGTTTTCTGCAGAGCACTCATCAATAAATCACTTGCACAGAAATCTTCATCCCAATTCCTGCTCTTTAGGGCCTTAGATGACATATAAAGGTGAGGACTGACCCATCCTATAGGGGTTAGGTGTTAACATTGCTGAAATCACTGTTTTTAGGTTTCGCACCCATTTGGTGGTACTAACCTCCAGTCCCAACCTGGTCCATATTTCAGCTAACAGCATCCAACATGTGGGAATATTTCTAGAATGAACAAATGATTATCAGTTACCTCAATAGGTCCTACTTGAAAGTCAACTGAGATTTGCTGTTCCCTGATGTCTTTCAGTGCTGTCATAGCAATCCGAATATCATCTAGGTCTTTAATTTGACGATTCAGTTTTTTATTGAATTCTTCAATGAGTGTAAAAATGTTTTCCATCTCGCTCCTGTATTTTTTGTTACAGTGGCGTCCAATAACGACCATCCAGGCCCTTGTCTCCGTGGTCAGGGCGAACTTCAAGTCAGCTGTAAAACCCAAATGACTTCGGTTCAATCTGAAAAACTTGAACCAGTATAAAAGGGCACAGTGCCACTGTTCACTAAGAGTAAATACTTTGCAGGTTATAGCCCTCTAATCCATGAAAAATCAAACTGGAAAAAAAACACACTTTCTCCTAATCATTACATACACATTCATTTTATAAAGTTTGTTTTTATAATAATTCAAAACACATTTCAAAATGCTAAAAAGAGAAGCACATAACAAAATCCTCTGAGATAAGCCTCAAATGTTTATTGTCGTTATTCCTTAAAGAAAGGGTAAATTTTAATTCCAAATACAACATACTCATCCCTTTCTCTGACTTAGCCTTTATTTTCAAGGTTTAGCAGCAAAGTGTTGAAAATAGTCCAGAATAAATAATTATACAGAAGGGAATTAAAGACAAATCTACAAATTGGTCTTAAAGCTTGAGGCCCATAAAAGGAAAGTCAATCTTTAAGGTAGGTAGAACTCACTGGAATACTAATCTAGGTAAAGAGAAAACGATACTGTTGAATTTATGTGACTGAAAGAAAATGAACGAACCCGTGTACAGCGCAATGGAGCCCACGCAGATATATTCAGGCTCAGCATTAATTTCCTGCTCTATGTTTTGGAAATAGAGGATCTGGGATTCAAATTCAGAAAGCAAGGGGTTTTGCATAATAAACGTCATAATGGTTTCTTCTTTCTCCTTTTGCCAAACGTGATTGTAGCGTTTGAAGCGATCCATGGATGTCATAACTTCCTAGAATACAAATAACAATGGATTTGTCTCAAAAAGGAAGAATCTGAAATGGCATCATGATATAAGTGAACATGCGCCAATTGCTGGCAGTTTCCATGGATTTATCAAAATGTTTAATTAGTAAACCGGGTGATTAGGTGGAAATGCCACAGAACCGGGACTATATACAATGGTATGGACACTAATCCAGGGCTAGTAATAGTTTCACTATTACCATCCCCAGCCAAAAGGGAGAGGAGTGGTTTGTAGAAACTAGAAGAGAGTCCTCAAAGGCCCTTGGTGACAGGGCCCTCTTGATTGGAGCTGAACCTTAGGTCAAAAACCATAGCCCATGGTCATGCTGCAGGGAGGGTGCCAGGGGGAAAAAATACTCTGAAGTCATTCTCTTCCTCCTCCTCCCCTTCAGATCTCCGTGACTCCTCATTGGTTGAACCCACTAGAAGCCTCAACGGGAAACTACTGATGTGTTTAGGGTCAGACAGTCTGGTGGAGAAGAGTGGAGATGAGAAATCCTGGGGTGGGCTTGGGGCGGCAGCAAACAGAACACAGCTAGCATCAAACCCCACTGGGAGATTGCCTGGAATTGCATAAAATGTATGAATTCATGTACTGGGAATTGACATCTATACAATATTACATCTTCCCATCCAGGAACATAGTACATGTTTCCATATCTTCCAATCTTTTTCAAAAATTCCTTGTTAAGTTTTAGAGTAATCTTCATAGAGACCCCACACACTTCTTATAATGTATGTCCCCAGGTATTCTTCAATAATGTCATCATTGTAAACAAGATCTTCTTCCACTATTTTTATAACTGGCTATGAATGGCATGCAAGTTTAAAACATTGAATTTTTTTTTAATGAGCAGTCCAGTTTTCTTCCAAACATGCTTCTGTGAGATGAAATGGCTTATTTGCAATTGGTAAATAGGGGATGGTGTCAATATAATGGGGAGGACATGTTATCAAATGCTATTTTTTCCAGCAAAACGAATGCTACTGTTTTGTACAAGCTAAAGCAGCAAGACATAGAGGAGCACGTTCCTGTGTGCCACGTCCCCTCCACCACTTCTTCCTTTTGAACTGATTTTGCCATCGCTTGTCTTAACAACGTTCTTTGCACATTGTCCTCATTCATAAGTAGGTACAAAAAACGTGTTCACATGGACGTGAAGAGTGGACTGATAGTTAATGGAGACTCGAAGGCTGGTGGGATGGGAGAGGGGAGGATGATTAGCAATTGGCCAGTGGGTACAATGTATATTATTCCTGACTTGACCACTACACAATCTATACATGTAACAAAATTGCACATGAACTCCATAAATTTGTACAAATAAAAAAATTTATAAAAATCAAAGCAGAAAGAACAAAACAAAAAAAGAAAGTTCTTTGCACAGTTTGGCCTGATCTTTGTAGATTTGAACCTTGTTTCCATACATCGGCAGCCCCAACTGTTCCTTATATCTGTAATTACTATGGCGTTATTAAATGTGTGAATATTTTACTATGATTGCTAGTTTACTGTGATTGCTATTGTTTTTGTTACTGTTCTGATTATAAAACTGCCTAGGTTTGGGTTTTATTGTGTGTCTGCCCCAATACTGTTTTTCTCATAATCCCTATTATTTAATATTAAATGTGCAACTTCACAAAACAGGAGGATTTTCAGGAACGTGTTTATGGCATTCTATCAGAAATGCTTATAATTATCTTTCAACTGACTACTAACTTAACTGTTTTGGGGCCATAATATTTTTTCAGATTAGCCTTTTGAATTTACTTGGTAGTAAATCATATCCATAAACAATTAAAATTTTCTCTTCATTTCTCATTCCCTTGGGAATCAAATTTTTCCATTGGCTTACATTATAATATCAGAGTTACATCTGCATGAAAAAAAAAATAGCTGATGCAGAATAGCAAATGCAATTATCTGAAATAATTGAGCATTACGAACAGCATTCTAAATGGTATGATTATTTTAAGTAAATTGCACCAACCTGCACCAAACCAGGAAGTAGTTCCACTCCAGCTCCCACATACAGCTAAAACATCCCTCAGCTCAGAACCTCAGGTTTAATGAGCATTAAGACTTCCCATCCATTAAAATGCAGAAAGCTAAGCCCACCACTGCCTGACCCAACCACAACTGATCCCCTCACATGGGCTGAACTGTCGACATGCATACCAAGAATGCACTGCAAAGACGTGCCACACATATTCACAAATGTATGGTGATTTAGAGAATGAATTACAGATTATTGAAGACTCCTGGAAATGGGTAGAAATTCCAGAATCCTGAGCTCTTTCAATATCTAAGAGCTTACAATATTATAATGATAATAATATCCCCTAACTAAATAAGTTTTAGACTCCTATTTTATCTGAAAGCATCAATCTTCATTAAATTGGAACTTTTAAAGTGGAGGTATCCTAGTCCTTAATGGGAAAATCAGATAAACTACATATGTAGAGCTATTCTGCTTAATTTACCAAGGTTACTTCAATCATTTAGGTTATTAGCAAGGTCATTTTGATCGTTTGGTCCAGTTCAAGCCAGGCAGTGTTACAAGTTGATGGCCAACCTATGATGTGCTAAATGTAGGTTGGATTTACCTTCTGATCCAATCAGTTATGGCAACAAGAAAGGGGCAAGAATCATAGGATTTTCTGTGGTCGAGGCAGAATCATTCAGAAGGGTCTACGGCTGTGGAGGGGAGGCTATGTCTAGTACTAAGACTAGGTATACATATATCCTAGGTATACACTAGGTATACACATCCCAGAAACGATTTGGCCATCTTACAAATCTGGAATAAGTTCTTCAAGTCATTCTAAATACCAAACCTTGCTACTATTTTTTAAATAGGTTTAGCTAATGTTCATTTCTTTACTTTTAAATTTTTTATTTGTATATATTCATGGGGCACAAGTGCAATTTTGCTATGTTGACATAGTGCATTGTGGTGAAGTTGAAACCTTCAGTACCTCCACTGGAACAACCCATATTGTACCCACCAACCTTTCTCCTGTTTTAAAAAAGACGAAAATCCGTGCATTCCCTTCATATAATATAAAAGCAAATGCAATAAAAATGACACAGATATAAGTTTTTGTTGCCAGCACTCTATGTTAATTCAACTGCTAAGTCTTCCCCTTGGATTTTCATCATAGTTGCTGGTTACATTCAGAGAAAGTAATGGACTCTGTTGCTGATATATTTTATTGTATTTTCTATGATTACTGAGACATTTGAAAATATTTCTGAATGTTTATTGTTGTCATAAAATACTCTACTTAACCTTCATCATTTAGTATAGAGCCTAATAAACTAAGTACTAGATAAATACTTGTTGAAGCATGTGAATACTGTCCCTAGGGAAAAATTAAATAAAGGACCTTCGCTATACTAAGAAAGGAAAATTGAAAGTGTGTAGCTGCAAAGACTTCCAGGTCCCTTGGGAACACATTAAAACTAAACTTACCAGTTCCTCACATGGTTACAGTAATGGTAGTTTTCAACGTGTTTTCAAACAAATATAACTTATTCTATCAAAACTGAGTAATAGAAAAGATGTATTTACTGAGCAACAACTATTCCCTCAACACTGAAAAGATTCCTAATAAGTGAACAGGTCTTAGCAGCAATATGAACTAGAAGATTTTTTTAAATAAAAGATGATTTCAGGGTTTTGAGTCTTTTTGACTGCAAGAACAGATTTGCCTAAACAAAAAAGGGAAAGTTGAGAGAGGATCAATTGGAAGAAAACCCTGAAATTACATCCATGTCCAGTACAAGTTTGTATTGATAGCTTTAATATTTTCATTATTCTCAATTTTATCTAATTTCCATCTGACAATATACATAAATTTTCATTTGATATTTTAAAAGGTTTACCTGACTACATAAACACAAAAAATTGACTGCAAATCTTATTCTATTTCAAATATACTACTATCACTGACTCTTCAAAGGTGAATTGTAACACCAGTCTGACTTGTGGTTTGGAATGTATTAGATTTTTTTTAAACTGAGATTCATTTGTATTAAAAGGAGAGGTTAAAGGCATTAAACAGAACACAATATGAGAATAGGAGTAATAGTTTTCTTTCACCTTGCAATCTAGAACGAAAAATCTTCAGTTAAACAAACATTTGCTGAGTGCATACAAGATGCCGTTAGCCGCTCACTGAAGGCACAGTGGCTAAGACCCAGGCTACATGTAGGACAAGCTTGTGGTGTTCACCTCCACACAGGCACATGTTGCAAAGCATGGGGCCCTGGCTCCTGAGTCTTTTGACTTACCTTTTTGGTGGAGTTGATAATTGTGCTAAGCACAGAGACTAATTTTACAATCTCCTTGTTTTCAGAAACATTCTTATAATAGTTCTTGGTTTGCACAGGAATTGGTAAGTTTACTGATGCTATCTCAATGGTATCTAAAAGAAAAAAAAAGAGAAAGGTTTATATTAACAGCACAGGCAATGTACTTTAAAAAGATGAGATTTCTGTAATAATAAAGTAAGAAATTCTGAAAATCTCCTTTAGAAAAGCAATGAAAATAATGGCAGGAATTGTCAATATCGATTTTTCAGGACTCTGGAAATTAGTCAAAGCTTGCAATGATCCAAAAACTGCTTATACAAGAAAAAAGGCTGACTATCAGTAACAACAGCAAACTTTGTGGTGTTTTAACTTTATTCCCATCACTCTTCTCCAGCTATGTAGTAGCCTTGAAAACAGCAGCCTTGAAACCATTGTGGCTGTGGAAACCAGTAGCCTGGCAGTCTCTGGAAGGGTCAGACTCAGTTTGGAGTTCCTTAGGGAGCTCCATGGAATTATCACCATTTGACCAGTCTGGAAGGTCTCTGAAAAAGCCCCATTTGGAGTTTATCTTTATTTGACCTGACTAAGAACTCACTGAATGAAAAGCCCTATCCCCAAGGCATTTGTCAAAAGATTATCAGCTGCTATTGCTTAACTTCACAGCTGCCTGAGGCGATGATATTAGTTGGGACAAATAAGACATTGGCCAAAAAAGTTAAAGATCCAGGGAATGGGAAGAGTGACATCAGCAACACTGTGGGATAAGAAGCTCCTGACTCTCCCTCCACCCACAGATGCACCAAATAAACATCTATTCACAGATCAGTTCCCTCTGAGAGAAAGTGAGAGACCAGTTGAGACACTCCCGCTTACGTTGCAAGCAAAACATATCCACATCAAATAGGTAAGAAAAGTGGAGACACACTCAGACACAGATCCCGCCCTGGACGCCGAATCATAAAATTGGGAAAGGACTCCGCAACACCCAGGTTCTCCCTGTGGAGAGGAGGGTTCGGACCTCACATGCACCACTAGGTCTCTCCAGACCATAGGAAAAAGTGGCAGCTTAATGTGGGTATGTGAGCACCTCCAAGGGCTTTATCCCCCAAGAGCAGTGCAGAGAAGAGGCTTTAAGAACACAGCTCTCTGCTTCTCCTTAGAAGGGGTTTATGCTGTGCATTGAGTGTCCCAACTTTTACAGCTACCTTCCAACAGACTCCATCCTAAATCTCTTAGCTAGGTGAACAGAAGGGACCAGGCATATGTGAGTCTCCCTAGGTGACAAAACGAAGAGGTAGTTTTAAACAAACACGCAAATACTTCCAAGTGCTATACCCTCTTGGAGCACTGCAGAACAGGGTCAAGAATGTGCAACTCTCATTTCTTTCCAGAAGTGGTGTACAGCATACACTTCCAGTGGCTACTTGATGGCCTGGCTTCTAACAAACTTGCATTGGGGAGCTAACAGGGCAAACAAACAAGAGCCCTTCAGCAGCTGGAGCCAGAGCTCAGCACTTCATGAGCCTTCTGTCTGGCTCACCACCATGATAAATCCAGGCCTACCCATTCTTCCTGGAAGGAGTTTGCCCATATACCAAGTGCCGTAACTTCTGTAGCTTCCACCCAAGGGACTGTCTCTTTAAGGACCTAGCTCTGGGATTCCATGGGGCTTTGCCTTCCTGAATGGCCCTAGACCACAGAAAACAAAAATGTGGACATACAATGAGCATCTGTCTCCCCAGGATCAGAGGGTACAGCCTGAACATGAGTGCAGGCATTTGCCATAGATCCTGTTTCTGGCTTAATGCAGAGAGAGTTGGTGATAAATGCCTATGCTCAGCTTCACTGTGAATATAGAAAGAACTGGAACACACATGCAACACCCTGGATTTTCCAGTTACACCTCGATTTCTACCTTACCAGACTGAAGGTACTAACGGAACAAGGCACATCCTAAGCTCCAGGGGGCCATCAAAAACAGAGACAGAAGTCAGGACAAACACAAAGATTTGAGAGGCGTTTTAAAATCTCTGGCCAGACATATTGGTGAGATCCTTCTACACAAGGCCAGTTTGACAAGACTGGGAGAGGTAGTTGTCTTATCTAGTGTGCAGAAACCAACACAGAGAGTCAAAGAAAATGAAGAAGCATGGGAATACATTTGAATAAAAGAACAAGATAAATCTCCTGAAACAATCCTGAGTGAAGTGGAAATATGTGACTTGCCCAACAGGGAATTCAAAATACAGATGGCTTCTCACAAAAATATATATATACAATTTTTGATCAAATATTTTTTCTTTTCAACTTAAGATATAATTTGTAGTTGAACTCATTTTAAGTTTAGAAAATTCTGAATTTTAAACTGTTCTAGGAGGTAACACAATGTTTCCAAATGATATAAAATTGAAATTAATATGATAATGCTTTTTTACCTTAAATAAATAAATAATATTTTACATTGAAGTTCGAGTTGTTTTCAGCTGTCTTTTCCTCCACAGTAACTTTGTTTTAAAGAGGAACTTGCCTCAGTTTCTTCCCCATGG